GTCCCAGAGTCATAAAAAATCTCCAACTCATGAGACAGATGTGCCCTGGAGATCACCTGCTCACCTCCACCTTGAAGCCAGAAATGAGGCTCTTCAAGTGCCAGCTCGCTTGGTCCCTGTGGTCACCTAGTGTCAACTCTCAGGTGCCAGGGAGATTTCAGGCACGCCGTAGAAAGCGAGGTGGCTGGAGGAGGCCCCAGGAGCTCCTATCCATTCTGTTCTGGTCTAATCTCACTACCTGTGTTTTTCTTGATGACTCATTCTGTTTGTTCATTTCCTGTTTTGAGAACAAACCCGAGTGCATCTCATATATCTGCTTAATGGTCCTCTTGGCTCCCCGAGGCACTAAGGAAAAGAGGGATGTGTGTGTGTCCAGCCACACAGATGTCCCTCTACCTGGGTTTATACAGAGGAATTCATATACTTATGTTGGTATAAATGTGCTTCTATTTTAAGTTCGTATGTTGTCACCAGCTAACTGTCAGTCCCTGGAAGGAAAGAGGAAAGACTGACATCCCCTTCTTGGGACATCAGTGCCTGGGAAGGTATGCGTTTCTCGATCAACGCTGGGAACGGATGCTGATAGTTGCCAAAAAGTACCTGTGAGCACTGTTTCTAGACTACTGAGAGCCAGAGATGCCAAGATGCTCCCCTGCACTCCAGAAAGCACACAGCAGCCAGACAGGGGAGGCAGGCAAGGCCTTGCGGAGACTGTGCAGCCCTGCAGGCATGGGATCAGCTGCCCTTTTTCCTAGGGAAATGCCTGGCAGGCTTCATGCAAGAGGTTCCCCCAGTAACCAAACACTCACTCAAAGGTTATATTTACACAGCTCATTAGGAAAATTTTTTTATACTTTTGACACTCATTAGAGTCGTAATCGTCCACTGAAGCTCCTCTATAACAAGAGATAAACACTCCATTCTAAAGGATGAATAATAATTAGGTACTTCTTGGCACCGTGCTCTTTACAGGTCTAATTTTAGAGCATAATTAATCCTGCTGAAGTTGCATAAGATAAGTGAAATATTTATGCAGCTGTGTTAATTCATGTATTTACTCCTAGAGAGACATTCAGAATTGGACATGGCTTTCCGGGCAGATTATCTTAAGACGCCCCCCAGAGCAACGCCATTTTCTCTGCCCTGTCTTTGCCTCCAGATGGCCTCGGAGGACGAAGCTTTAGAAAGATGAACATTTCCCAACCCTGGCAGGATGACCAGGAAAGCAATGAGGCAGGACGTGAAATATCGACAGGAACCAAGATGCTCTGTAAGTAAGCATCTGCAAGAGGCGGCAACGAAGGCATTTCCTGCTCAGCACCAGGAAGGTGGTTCCCCTGGTACAGACTGGCACTGTCATTGCCAGGGCGACACTTAATAAGCTGTGCTGAACGCAGGAGTTGTGCAGGGACAGTGACGGTGCTGATGGGCAGGAGGCATGTGGGGGGAGGAGGAGGACAGTGACGATGGTGGTGAAGATGATGGTGATGATATTGTGATGATGATGGTGGTGGTGATGGTGGTGACAGTGTTGATGTTGATGGTGGTGGTGGTGGTAGTAGTGGTGGTGGGTGGTGATGGTGGTGGTGATGGTGGTGATGATGGTGGTGGTGATGGTGGTGGTGGTGGTGGTGATGGTAGAGATGGTAGTGGTGATGGTGATGATGGTGGTGATGGTAATAGTGATGGTGGTGGTGGTGGTGATGGTGGTGATGATGGTGGTGGTGGTGGTGATGGTGATG